AAAAAAAAAAGTTCATATGGTAAAACGCCAAAACCGTGATGATTCGAATGGCAAAAAGTTATTTACCCTAGATTTAATTTCAGTTTCTAAGTTGTTCACGAATGGATTTTCTGCTACTTTTGGTTTCCTCTTTTCTCAAGTGTTGAAGACTCTGGGTTCGATAAAACTCCAATCTTTAGTTAAAGTTAGCATCTTTAGGTAATATATTGCTCTTATTTGTTTAGGTTAGATTAGTCTAAATCCATCCATCTAATCTTGTTAGCATGTTTAGGACTTTGTTTTCGTTTTTGTGCTATTGACGACTAGTTAGGAAACAACGCTCCCAATAGACTTCCTCGAAAGACACGACCCGAGGTCGGGATTCTGTACTCGACTAAAAACACTAATTAACAATAAACTAAATATGCCTAATAAATGAACTAAATATGCATAATGAATGAACTAAATATTCATTATGTATATAATTAATCAAATATAATAAACATGAACTATGATGAACTAATATGCATTTCTTATTACCTAAATATGCGTAATGAATGAACTAAATATATTAAAGAATATATTAATTTAAATATAATAAACATGCACTATGATGAACTAAATATGTATTTTTTGTTACCTAAATATGTGTATTTAGTGAACTAAATATGCATTAAGTATTATATTAAGTATATAATTAAAAAAAAAATTATATCAAATTAATAATATAATAAATAAGAAACAATATCAACTAACTATGTGTTGTCTATGAACTAAATATGCACTACGTATGAATTAAATTCCCATTTTTCATGAACTAGATATGCAGAGAAAACATGCAAATAAATGTGCATTGTATATACTTAACTTAAATATAATAACTAATATCTTTTAGTATATATATAATCATTGTAAATTTCAATAGATTAATATGATCAATTGATATATACAAATAAATGACTATGATTGGATCTCACATGAATTAATATGCACTATGATAAACTAAGTATGTATTTTTATTACCTAAATATCCACAATGAATTAACTAAATATGCATTATGAACTAAATGTGCCTTTCTTATTTTCAATTAGATATGCATTATTTATAACTAAAATATGTGTCATTGTGTATTATCTAAATCTGCACAAGAAATAAACTAAATGTGCATTAATTTTATAATATAGAAACTCAAGAGTCATATTATAATTATTCAAACTATAAGTAAATTACAGATTGAACCCAATGATCTAATTACAATAACAAATAAGTGTTTGAAACTGCAATTAGATCCCTGAGATTTTTCAAATTTTCACAATGTTGCCCAATCACCAAATTTGATTTTGCTTCCATGTGAACAGACCTTTGGAGATCCCATCTTTTTCCGTCGATCCAGACCACGGAATTCAATCTGGGACCCCGAGTGGGTCGAACGCCTCCTTTAGGCTCTTCTCGATGTTCTTGGAGATGAAGCCGGGGATGTCCTTGAGGAGGTGGAACGTGAGTCCCACCTCCCTCAGGTTCCCGTCGATGGTGTTGTGGTTGTCGGGGAGCAGTTGTGGCTGAAGGATGTTTGACGCGACTGTTCGCCGGAGGTGATGAAAAACGCCAAAGATCGGCTGTGGTCGCGCGTCTCTGATGGATTAAGCATGCAACGGGACGGTTGCAGGAAATTTTGCAGACGGAGAATTGAGGTGTCGGTCGATGGGCACTGCGAGGCGGCGGTCAGTGTCTAGCGCGCCGGCGAAATTCGGCTGCAGGGGCTAGGGCTGACCGACTTGAAGGGTTGGCCGAGCATGCCGGCCGAAAAATGTGGTTATCGGGGTTGTCGATGCCAGTCATTGGCCGTCGGTCAATGATTTATTTTTAATATATTTAATTTAAATATAATAAAAATTATTTTTTATTATATAATTAATGTGTATCATAATTGATTAATACAAGCCATTGATCTACACAAAATCAATGTCTATGATTGAGTATCATATACTCATTTTAAAGATTAGACTCATCTAATCCACTCCCTATATATATGTATTTAATTTTATCAGTCAATATTTATTCAAGAACAACAAATCATCCTAATTTATCTCATAAAATAGTTATATTTGTATAATCAATAAAAATTTTTAATATTAAAAGGCATATAATATATGGTACTTTTGATCCACATAGAGTTTTAATAAAAAATATAAAACAGGGTGGAAACGTTTTATTATATAAAATTTTACAAATTAAAAAATACAAATAAACTAACTAATAGCTTATAAAATGCGGTGAAGATTATGAAATTTTTTAATATTAGTATTCATACACACACAGACATATATATAATCAAATAATATATATATATATATATATTATATAAAATAAAAAAACAATTAACTAATATTGATTATAAATTTATACATTATAATAATATCCCCTAATAAAGTTAATTTATACATTTTATCATACATACCTCCTTATAATTAAAATTCAATTATATGTTTAGTTATTAACCTTTGTAAAAAAAAATACTACCTTCTATTTTTTTTAAATGTCATTTTGGCTTTATCAACAATTAACTAAATAAATGACGTTTTGGATCTTCTGTACATATTTTTCATTATTATTCTCATCTAGCTAATAAATACACTACGTCTTTTCATATTCATTCTTCATATTTTCTCAAAACATTCATCTCTATCCTCATTAATGAGAATTATTATTGGTAAAAAAATATTTCTTAATTACTGTGTAATTTCTCAAAACGATACTTATTAAAACTAAGAGGAGTATATATTACTAATGAGTATTTAATTTTCTACAAACTGAATAATGTAGTAAGTCAGAGAGTCATTTGTTTTTAAGATGGAATAATATCTCATGAATATCTAAAACTTTATAAAACATAGTAAAATATAATATTCATTCTTTACTATTTTGTAGACATTCATCTGTTATGCATGTGTAACACTATTTTATGTACTAACTATTTGATGTTCACATATATATAAAATATAACCAATACTACAATATAAATGTAATGAGGTTATCCAATTTAATAAATATTAAAATATCAGCAATATTTAGCAAATACAGACAATTGAGCTACCATTACACGCATAAGAATGCGCTCTCTTTCTGTTACCTGCGCCATGTTCCATACCTTATCATTCATATCAACGCACGTTTGTCCAAGTTGCTAAAAACTTTTCTTTTTTTAAATTTTAAAATAAATCAAGTATAATAAAATAAAGATTTATATGAATCACAAAGTTGCAAACTATGTACTTTTTTTTTTTAATTTTCAAATAAATCAAGTATAATAAAATAAAGATTTATATTTTTAATTTTAAAATAAATCAAGTATAATAAAATAAAGATTTATATGAATGACAAAGTTGCAAACTATGTAATAATTCTAAATATTTGGAGGAGAAGCCTAGGCACAGTCAAATATTAGGAAAAATATTAGATATTAGATGTATAATTTTTTTTATATTATTGAAAATTGTATAAATTGATATATTGAGTTGTCTTTGAAAATTAAGCACTGTTCCGTTCAAATACCTTTATCATTCATTACTGGTGAGCAGGTCCATTATTTTTAAAGAAAAAGAAAAACATTCCATATGTTCCCAAGTTTTCAATAATTATAAAGAAAAGAAATTCTAACTGAAATTCTATATGTTCTCCTTTGGATTGCATATGTTATCCTCACCATAACAGTTTTGTTATCCGCATGAGGTAATGAAACTGATCACACGTATCAAAACAGATAAAAAAACGAATAAAAAATGGGCAAGTTACAAGGATAAAGAGTTAGCCATGTTATATAAGTCAACACAAGCAAAAACACTGAGCTTATAATTCCCAACCATGTAATGAAATATGTAGTGCCACCACAAAAACACGATTATAAGACACAATTACATAGATAAATGATACGGTGACACGACATGACGCAAATAGAAAAAATTCAGTTATAGGCAATATGACATAAAACACGATGAAAATTACGAAATAAACAATGTAGCCACAATTTGACTTATTATCATATTTATTATCAAATAAAACAGATAATACAAAAATACGATACTGAAGTATGGACACAACACGATTCGCCTATCTTGGCCAAGACCATCAATTAAAAATAAAAGAAATTAAAACAAATAAAATAAGGGCATGGAATATTACTTTTAATAAATATACATACTTTTATTATAAGTGAAATATCATAACCTAGAAAATAACATAAATAAAAATATGATGTTTCATAAAATAATCATGTAAAACATAATATGACGGAAAATTGACCCGTCCAACTATTAGTCCGATACAATAATTGGTGATTTACCATAGACATGGCCAAACTCAGGTTTTCGATCGGAATCGTCGGTTCCAGTCTGGGGTTTGGAGGAACCGGAATCCTCCTGGACTTTGGCATGGGCCAGTTCTAGGTCTGTCCAGTTCAATTAAAAAAAAATAAAAAAAACCAAACTATTGACCCAGTTTCGATTCCAAATCGGCCTGACAGTTCAAAAATTACATATATGAGGCCCAAAATTGGCTCGATCAAACTATGGGCCCGAGTAAAGGCCCGTTGACCAAGGATGTTCTGGGCCGGGCCGGCCGTGGCCATGACTGATTTACAAGTTGTGTGGCAGATTTTAATATTGTATAATTCAAGTGGTGCGAAAAAGCAAAGACATTTCTCTCTCACAAACACACGCACAAGTCTCCACAGCACTTTTTGGGGCACTACAAATTCACGCCCATCCCCCTCACTTATCCTCGACTCCTCCTTCAATATTCCCTCCTCCATCATTCCCTCTCTCTTTAATAATACCAAACACTCCCTAAAATTCAACAACAAAAAAATATAAATAAGAAAAAACACACACAAACTCAATCATCCTCGAACTACATAAATTTCTCAGCTCATAGTTTTTATGGGTTTTTTTGTTTAATTTACAAGCACACACACAAATATATAAATAAATATATAAACACACACACACACACACATACCTTCGCCATGTCCACTATAGTTTACCAAAGCTTGGAGTCCGGCAGCTCCACCACGCTAAAGCTGCAGGTGGCGCCGCCATCCGCGGTGGTGACGGCTGGCGTTGACCGGCCGGCGAATCTCGAATTTGGAAACTGGGGTTTCCTCCAAACAGCCACTAGAGAAACAGGGGAATATTACAGAGACACCAACCCATGGGCATATAAATCTTCCTTCTCCTCCCTCAGCGCAAAATCACTGGAGCTCTGCACCGAGAATCTCGGCAGCGAAACCGGCAGCGACGTCATCATCCCCGGCGCCGGCGACGACGCCGTTTTCTCCGACCATCTGCCTCCGGTCGAGCAATCGATCACAGATTTCAGCGCCCAAATCGACACCTACACCAAGCGACACCCTGATCCCCCTAAGAACACCGTCCGCCGCGAGGCGAAGAGCATCCCACCGCCGCTGACGTCGATGACCGGCGCGAACTCGCTGCAGGTTCGCCGCCACAGGGAGGGCGGGCGACTGATCCTCAAGGCTGTGGAGGCGCCGTTCAGGAAGGCGTACCTCCAGGCGGAGAGGAGCGACGGGAGGCTCCGCCTGAGCTACGTGACGGCGGAGGCCACCATCTCCGCCGCCGCCGGAGAACAGGAAGAGGATGAATTTGAGGATGGATCAGCGGCGGCGGAGGAGGAGGAGGAGAAAGAAGAAGAAGAAGAAAAGGGGGAAATTGAGGAGGTTGGGAGTGAGTTGGGATCGGAATTGGACGGAGAAATCGAAATCAACGGAGAAATTGACGGTAATTTGGAGAAATATAAAAGGCAGAGGAGGTGCAACGAAGAACGGAGCCGCAGTAGATGGAAGCCGTCCCTCTGCCTGGCCATTTCCTAAATTAAATTAAATCCGTTTTAACCGTGCACTTTTACCGTTTTATCCCGGGTTTTCCCCCGTTTTTTACGTTTGGTAGAAGTTCTTTTTAGGGGTTCTTTATTTTTTATTTTATTTATTTATTTATTTATTTTTTTTATTTTTTTTTTGGAGTTTAATATGGAATTTGCAAGTTGAGTTATTTTGGCAGTTACTCATGAATCCGGCGGTGAATGTTTGTTTGTTGTTGTTTTTGGTTAATGAATTTCCCACCCCAAACACCCGTGATGTTGTATCACCATCATGTGTGATCAGTAGTTTTGGAATGAAATATTTATTTGATTTCACAAATGCTTTGTAAATGTAAATCTGATGATGTTGATAGACACAAAGATCCCATGGGCCCCTGAATAATTTAAAGTTAAATTAATTCATCTTAGCTTCACTTTTTGATAACACTTGAATACTAAGTAAGTGTGAAAGTATATATTCATAATACGTAATGTTAATTCGTCCGGATGAAGTATGGTGCAGGGAGTATAAATAATCGAACAACTATGGAACAAACGATCTAGCAAAGTGAATTTGACATGTACCATTTAAAAATAAACCAGATTCATACATTCGTTCGCTCGATATAAAATCGGTTCACATATTTTTCTGCAAAGTGTTGTGAGGTATTCATAATATATATATTCAAACGTTGCATGTCTCCTCACCGCCTTGCACCACCTCCATTGTCGCTTGTCCAGCATTCACGACCCAGAGCTGTTGTTTGGCTGAGACCCAAGCCTCCTTGGGTTAAGCTGAACACTGATGGATCCTTTGACCGACTTACCAGAGTCGCCGGAGGCGGGGCCTGATTAGGGACCATAGCGGGGCTCTTATTACCGCTTTTCATGCCCCTCTTCAGACCTCCTCGAGTTTCAGATCGGTCTTCAGATTGCTACCTCGATCTCCTCTCACATTTGGATAGAGTTGGACGTTGTCGTTGTCATCACTCTTTTGACCACTGACCATCAGGGCACATGGCAGATTCAGCATCCGCTCATGCGTATCAGGGCCACACTTCGGTCGATTCACTTTCAGATCTCGCACATCTTCCGTGAGGGGAACCACCCTGTTGACTTCCTCGCAGGCATCGGGTCCTCCACCCCCCCAGAGACGCATTCTTTATCCTGACGATATTCTTTTTCGCCTCCGCACCCTTATACGGATGGACCAGATGGGATACCCTTCATTGAGATTTGGGTAGCCGGTCTTACTTCTTGGTGCACCCGCCCTCCCGTGATACTGACTCTTTTGCCTGGACTCTTCCCCGACCAGGAGACGATATAGTTATGTTACTGGCAGTTATTGCCAGCTTTGTATTGTTGTTTTTTCGTTTTTGGTTTTCCGTTTTCTTTTGACTTGTTGTATTTCCGATATTGAACTTGTAAATGTGACTTTTAGCCCATTTAGAGTTTTTATATATACAGGTTGGGGGTCTCGCCTAAACCCCTCACCCTCCGGGGTAGTTTCGAGAAAAAAAAATGCAAATACATACCAAATACATACCAATAAAGTTGTGTAAGTAGTAAATTAAAATGCGATTTGAATTTATATCTCCATACAAGGCATGTATTTATAGGTCATAAGTTACACTTTCCACTAAGAAAACTAAGAAAAACCAATCTCATAGATCCAAAGAGTTTTCAATAAAGATTGTAAGTAAAATCACAATATAACCTTAACCAAAATACTCCATGCCGAGTTAACTCATCAACTCAGAGTCATAGTGATGGAGACGAGACCGCGATCGTCTTTTTGAATAAATACGACAGGATTCGGGTTTAAGTCGTTTATTATTAATCTGCTTATTTTATTATTTCCTTTTTATTCTAGGTAATTAAATAAATATCTTGCAATCTGTTGGGCAAGATACTAGCTTAGGACTCTTTCCTTTTATTTATCTGCTAGGCAGCGAACGAGAAAAACAGATTATTTGTGAATTTTTGAGTTTGTGTAAATTCATCGAGAGAGCATCTCGTTCTTTCCCTTTCGTATCACGTTCTACATCAGTTGGTATCTAGAGACCAGCGTCGATCCGCGATGCCGCCAAAGAGAGCAAATGTCGTGAACGAAAACCTTATTGAAGATCGATTTCAGAGGATGGACGATCGGATTCAAGGGATGGAGGATAGATTCACGGACCTGTCTGCGGGGGTCGAGGAGATATGCGTACAATGATGGAGGAGGTCCGTACGAACCGCGACGCTGGCGACCGGGGCGTACGCGGAGGGTTTCGCGGAGGACGTGGGGGACGTGGCTTTGGCGGGGGCGCCCCACCGGTGTTCACCACCAACTCCGTCTGGCGATGAGGAGGACAACGAGGAGGACGAAGAGACCATTAGTGTCGACAATCCATTCGCTCCTGTACCGCGACGCCGACCTGCGGGCGAGGAATTTGTCGATCATGACGGTCTGGGCAGAGGACGTGTTCCACGCGGATTCGATGGAGGCGATGGCAGACGTCACGATTTCCACCGTCGCGAGCGTGGCGATCCCCGTGGAGGCGCGGAGTCTGAAGAAATGAACGATTGGCGTTTCGATGACTTCAATAGACCTCCACGACAAGGCTGGGGATTCAATGGTGACGACGAGCTTCAGCGCGAAGGAGGCAGAGCACGCGACCAGTTTCAGCGCGAGGGCCAATATCGACGCGACGACAGGCGCCCGATAGAAAGGGGCGGTTAGTCGCGTTGGGATCAGGGGCTTCGGGTTGAGATCCCCGAATTTGACGGAGGCATTAACAGGTCGGAGTTTCTCGATTGGTGGGCTGCCGTTGAGGCCGTCCTCGCATTTAAGGAGGTCCCGGAGGAGAAGCGTATCGCTTTCACGCCACACAATTCCGGGGTCGAGCGGCGGCTTGGTGGATGCAACTCACCAGTGTGCGGCATCGTCAAGGGAAACCGCCAGTTTCATCTTAGATGAAGTTTTGTGAGTATGTGGAACGTGAATTTGTGCCGTTCAATTATGATAGCATTGTTTATCAACAGCTCCAGAATTTACGTCAAGGGATGCGTTCGGTGAACGAGTACACAAATGAATTCTATCGGCTGTTAACCCGTGTTGAGCTCCGAGAAACAAAGAATCAATTGGTGTCTAGATACGTCGGAGGTTTACGTACAGGAATCCGAGATATGTTGAATATGTTCCGCCCCGACTCGGTGTCGGATGCTCACCAACGAGCCATCCTCGTTGAGCTTCAACAGGGGCAGAAAGCGGGCCAGCCAGGGGCTTCGTCTTCACGTTCGGGAGCTGCCATGGGAACATGACCAGGTCTTGCGCGTTCGGGACCCACGGCGGGTGGCGGGTTTGGCCTCGGAACAGCCACCGGTCGTACGCCGACATCCAGCGGGAGCTTTCAGCGAGCCGTTGGGGTGGGCGGCCAGCAGCCATTTGCGGCTGCCTCTCAGGCCGTCGCCGGCTTACGGGGAGGTCGGCCATCGGCAGTCGGTCTGCTCGAAAGGATCCGGTACGCGGGCCTTGTTTTAAGATGAGACGAGTGATTTTTCCTTCAGTGGAGACTATGAGAGGCCTCCGGCTTATGAAGTGGAACTCAGGGAGGTGGTGGAACACGTGTCTGGCGATGTGGGGACGACGTTGGTTCTTCGCCGGGCTTGTTTGACGCCGCATGGTTCGGGTGATACACCAGTGGAACGTCATCTTCTATTTGAGTCTACTTGCACAGTTGGTGACAAGATATTTCGCTTCATTATAGATTCAAGATCTTGTGAAAATGTTATCGCTCAAGAGGCCGTCGACAAGCTGCACCTGTCTAGTGTTCCTCATCCACAGCCATATACACTCGCGAGGATTCAACGGGGTAATGCAATCACTGTTGACCGACGTGTGTTAGTTTCTTTTTCTGTGGGCCCGAGGTACCATGATCAGATTTGGTGCGACGTAGTCCCAATGGATGCCTACCATTTACTGTTGGGGCGCTCGTGGCAATTCGATCGAGAAGCTACTCATGAAGGTCGCCTCAACACTTACTCGTTCTTGGAGTGAGGATCATTTTGCAACCTTCTCTACCTCAACCCACACTGACGACGAGTCCATCATCTTCAATTCTTACCCTATCTCGCTTGGCATTTTTTACAGAAATGCGTGACTCTCCGATGGTCCTATTGGTGGTTGGGCGAGACACAATAGAAGTCCAGTCACCACCTGCAGTTATTCAGCCGTTATTGTCTGAGTTCGCGGACGTGTTCCTGGACGAGATTCCTGTCGGGCTACCACCACTTCGTGACATTCAGCACCACATTGACTTGGTTCCAGGGGCATCTCTTCCAAATCGACCTCATTATTGTATGAGTCACACAGAGCACGAGGAACTGAGACGAAAAGTCGAGGAGCTTCTTCAACGAGGAGTGGTTCGTAAGAGTATGAGTCCTTGTGTGGTTCCAGCCCTTCTCATCCCGAAGAAGGACAGCACGTGGCGCATGTGTGTCGATAGTCGGGCCATTAACAAGATCATAGGTACCGCTTCCCGATACCATGGTTGGATGATTTACTTGATCAGCTTCATGGGGCGTCGGTTTTCACCAAGTTGGATCTACGTAGCGGATATCACCAAATTCAGATTCGACCTGGTGACGAGTGGAAGATGGCTTTCAAGATCCGGGAGGGGTTGTTCGAGTGGCTGGTGATGCCATTCGGTTTGTCGAACGCACCTAGTACATTCATGAGGGTGATGAACCAGGCACTTCGGGAGTTCATTGGCTAGTGTGTCATCGTTTATTTCGACGACATTCTTATCTACAGTCGATCGAAGGACGAGCATCTCCAGCATGTCCGGTCGATCTTGCTGGTGCTGCGAGCTGAGGCGTTTTTTGCTACTCCTCGTAAGTGTTGCTTTATGGTGCCTTTCGTTTTATTTTTCGAATTTGTGATTTCAGCTGAGGGGATTCGGGTCGATGATGGCAAGGTGACCGCTATTCGTGATTGGTCGATTCCTTCTACGTTTATTGAAGCACGTA